ACTGGTGGCTGTTTCTTCTTCCAACTGGAGGTCAAACAGCTCCCACATTGTCATCTACTGTATAGTAATAACGCATCCTGGTCAACTGTAATGCTAGCCCTATTAGCATTTTGTCATCCTCTAACTGACCGATAGCAGGGCATGTGTACATCCGCGAAGCAACACCGGAGGAGCTCCGGTGACATCCTTCCAGGCCTTTCCTTGGCGTTACAGCTACATAAACGCGGGGTTAGTGATGAATACGTTTACCCTGAGTTCGTCTCTCTCAGCCTCCCAGCGGTATTTCTCGGCCTGGAAGCGTCCCCACTCGTACTGGATGAAGTGCAGGATCCCAGGAAGCGTCATCCCCGACTCCCCGTCCTGCGGCTCCCGTGACTGCTGCAACGGTCCGGGGACGGCCCCGGCGGCTGCTGCTGCGGCCGCTGCCATTGCCCCGGTCCCACCAGCTGATGTCGCCTGGCCCGGTCCTGCTTTAGGCCCGTTTGGGTTGCGCCCCGTTCCACTGCTGCCGCCGCCGACTCCGGAGTTCGGGTTAGATCCTCCGCCGGTTCTGTCCGCCTCCATTTTAACTGTTCAACCTTTCGCCAGGATAATGAGATGGGAATGGGCAGAATGGACGAATATAAATATAAAAAAAAGTACTCCGTGCCCTTTTCCAAACCCAGCTCCACTTCACTATAAGCTACCCTCCTTTCTTCCTTTCTCACACGCACAGAGAAAAATTACTATTCTGTTGGTAAAATAATACACTTCCGCTTCCAAGCCTTCAGCGCAAAACACAATCTAACCGCAGTGTAACATCGTGGCCCCATTGATTTCGTAACAAATCCCTTTTCACAAAACGTCTTACGTGCAGTCTTAAAACTAACATCAAAATAAAGTAACACCAGACAGCGTTTATTAAATGTAATGCACCTGAAAATAAACGTTAACCTTTTTTTGTTTTTTTTTGCTGCTCTTATTTTGTATATCCCGGATCCCAGATCAGTTTCCTCCTCGTGAAATGCCCAGTGCGGGTGACAAATAAAGGGCCATGTTTTCTATAATAGACAATAAATATGTCGCTAGGGGAATGAATTTCCTGCCATTTTGTGAGCAGGAATGGTTTCAGGAACGAAAAAGTTAGCTGCAGTGATCAACAATGCTATTTCCGGTAGAGATTTTATCTTTGATTTTTATTTTTGGAAAATAAATTGTGAAACGAAGACAGCCATAGCCAAAAACAGCAATACAAAAGCCTTTGGGACACATTTGTAATGTATAACATGTTAACGTGAATTATAGTTTTTCCCCATATCATCTTTATATTTATATTTTTTGTATTGCTTATATCCTTATAACCTCTGCAATAACATTTGCAGTTATATCTCATATTTTATATTATAGCAATATGCTTTTCTATTATTTTAAAACGTAAGAGATTAGGTATAGACGCCAGGTAACTGGGATAACTCTGAAGCGGTTATTGCGTAAAATATGTGCCTTTCATTAAATAGATTCATAGATTGGTCCAGATTTGGACACCCCTTACAATAGCTTTAATCTGAAGGATTTCAACCGGAAGTTGTCCTGTTGCTGCGGGCAACAATGTGATAGCTTAATGCTAAAGTCGTGCAGCTGGGTTTCTTGTTTGGGATTGTGTTAAGCCTTGCGCTTTTGATATATTCTTTTGATCATTAGGTGTGAGTTTCTTCCAAAAAATATTGGAGACTATTTCTTCCACAACCGTACAAATATGAGCTAAACTCAAGTTAATATCTGTGTTTGCTGCTGCCGATCCAACCTCGGTAGCTACTACGCTACCAGCTCAAAAAGATCATCATGAAATCCACATATAGCGAGCATAACGGGCATAATTGGCTTAACGTTGGTAAAGCCTCTCTTAACTTCTGAATGATATTATGGCCCTACAAACGATTGTCTTATATGAAATAAAACCGATACATTCAGATGAAGGTGAGTTGCTACTATCCTATTTTCATTAATTTCTAATGCAACTAGAACCTGTCATGGAACAATCATGTCCTAGTTCCACAAGAATGTGATTATGGCTTGGGTCATTCACTGACTACTTTGTTTAAATTAAATATCCTGTGTGCAAATTGTGATGTTCATATGCAGATCAATACATTATACTTATACGAAAGCCTGTGGTATTGGAACCAAAGCACAACATTTTTCTGTCATTTACAGGTTGTATGCGACTCTCTGTTACACTGATGGGGGTCCGAGACCAGCCACTGGATTTCTTGATTCAAACTTAAGTTATTCTCCTGAAATAAACTGCAAAGGAAATATTAGTTGCCATGCGGATCAGTTTCTGTCAGGGCTTGTTATCTATTGCCATCATCCTCAACCTCCTCATTCTCTATTATGTGTCCCGAGCCCAGCAGCAAATGATGGAGAAGAGGAAAGAACTTGGCAGGGGCACAAGAAGGGCTGCCCTACCAGCCTCTGGTCTCGGAGGGTTACTTGCAGGAGCTGGAGGTGAGCCTGGAGTGGTTGGAGTGGAGGGACACAGTCGAGGCCCACGTGTAACTGTTCTACTTCGGGAATTTGAACATTTTGAAAACTATGTTGGGGACGTGGCTAATTCCTTCCTTCACCAGAGGCCAGAGCTTCCCTTCCTGGCTGTAGCTGACACATCACCGTACCCTCCACTGGTGCTTCCGGAGGGTGCTCGGCTTCTTATCCTCTCCCCCAGCCCAGACCAACCACCACAAGCTCACAGGCCTGAGTTTCATGTGCAAACAGAGTTTGTGCTGCTAGTGCCTGATGGAGTGGAGCTGGAGCAACCAAGGGCTATTGAGAGGTTAATTAGAGAGTTGGAAGGAGAGGGTGGAGGGCCTGTGAGGTTAGTAGCTGCACCCGTATTGGCTCGATCTGCTGTGCAGTGTCTCCACTTGCGGGTGAACCTCAGAGAGTGGACAGCTATCTATTCAACAGCTGCATCAGGGAGCAGTGGGAGTGTATGTACAGCTTTACAGGGAGATGCAGTCGTACTCATTCGGACTGAGGATCTTTTTAACCTCTCTGTCCCTCTTGGACGGCCTCTCTTCTCTTCACTCTTCATCCAGACTTCTTTGAGAGGCTGGAAGGTCAAACTCCTGGAAGGCCCCTGTTTCTCTGCAAACCATCGGCCTCTCTTCAGCTCTGCTCACAACCAGTGGAAGGCTGACACTCGACTAAAGGAGGCCACGGGGAAGCTAATGAGGAGCTTCGGTCTAAAGCGTCTTCTGCTGCCTGATGGGAGGGAACAGTGGTACGGCTGCAGCAAAGAGACACCACGCTGCTTTGGCACTGTGCAGGATGACACTCCAGACTATCTTTATCTGGACCGCTGGACACCTCCCTGCTGTCTGCGAGCACTCAGGGAAACCACCAAGTATGTCGTCAATATCTTGGAGCGCTCAGGTGTGCGCTACTGGCTAGAGGGAGGTACTCTGTTGGGCGCCGTACGCCATCAAGATATCATCCCATGGGACTATGATGTAGACCTTGGTATCTATCTGGAGGATGTACCCAACTGCGATCATTTAAAGAACCTGGACTCGGGCTCTCTGGTGGATGCTAATGGCTATGTGTGGGAGCGTGCGGTGGAAGGAGACTTTTACAGGGTCCAGTACAGTGAGGCTAACCACCTGCACGTTGACCTGTGGCCGTTCTATCCACGTAATGGCGTCATGACCAAAGATACGTGGACTGAACATAAACAAGATGTCGAGTTCCCAGAACACTTCCTGCAGCCACTGGTACCCATGGCTTTTGCTGGCATCACTGCCTATGGCCCTAACAACCACAGAGCCTTTTTGGAACTTAAATTTGGAGAGGGGGCGATTGAGAACCCCCAGTATCCCAACCCTGCAAAAAAGAGACTGGACAGAAGCAAATTATGAGTCATACCGGAGGGCTACAGACCCATTTAGGTTTACATACATACAAAGAAAATCTTGCCTCAAATAATTGTCTGTGAAAGATAATGCCTGGAAAGTAAAGCCTTTTACACACGTGCACTGCACCCCTGAATGCTTTGAGACATTACCAAACTGAGATTCACGTGAGAGCACAAATGTCCGACATTCTTATCTGACCGTAAATGGTCGAGTACCTCTTGTCTGTGTGACATCCACATCTAATCATCTCAACATTTTCTGGAGGTCATGTGTGAAAAAAAGATTTAATATGGTGCCAAAACGACTGCATTTACTGTTACCTTCACCACATGTGTATCAGAAGACTGTGTATTGCATGCTTAGATTGTTCTTCCTGTGGTTCGGATGTAAAGTCTAATGTTGAACACACGTTATTTATTTGCCTGAGCGGTAGCGTTTTGTTTGAAAGGCACACTTGAAAAGTTTAAATCCATACACTCGTGTACTGACATAAGGCTGTGGTGTGTATGTGTTGTACAGAAACATTGAACTACTACTGCTGTAATTTAAAAAAAAAAAAAGGTAGATAATTGAAAAAAAACAAAGATTTTTTAAAAACTAAAATGTATTTTATCTTAAGCAGGATTTAAGGTAATATACAGACGTATGTGTGTTAAATAAGTGGCTTTAGCCTAACAGGTATTTTATGATTTTTGAACTCTGTTGCCTTGTTTTGCACGTCTCAGTTTATGAGTGAATGTTAGTTTGTGGTAGAGCCAGCTGGTAACTGCAGCTGAGCAGACTTCCATCTAATGAAATGAGAAACACACCTGTGTTATTCATGCTGTTATGGACGATTGCTCTACCATGCCTTAGAATTCAAGTAAATAATTACATATTTATAAATATTATGAAAAGGAAATCAATTCAGTATTCTACTCAGTTTCCCTGGTTGCCACATGATTCCTGTAGTTTTTCCTGTATCTAATGTACTAGGGTGTCAAATGATTTCATGTACTTCTACAATAAAAGAATAAGTTTCATGTATTTTGTAAATAGCTGTTACCACTAGATGGCGCAACACAACTAATTAACGCCAAGTGCTGTTGTTGTGACAACCAAAGGGGTGGAGTGTAGGCAGGAATACAACTCTACAGGAACACGGCTCACGTGTTCATCACAAACCCAACGTGTCATGCAAACTAGCATTACAATCAAGCCTCTCCCATGTTGTTGCTCTACATATTGTGTCCCTAGAGGTGTGTTTATATTGTTTATATGGCCTGGTTAATGTGCCCAGGCTTATGTATCAGTGGGAGGCTGCATTGCTTTACAGTCTCTAAACATAAAGACAAAGTATTTTGTGTCTTTCCTGATTTGTATTACTGTGTGCTTCTGATTAGTCTCTGCAGTAAGAGTTAAAAACAGGGTTTGTCCACAAAAAGCCACATCCTCTTATTTATATGTATAAAAAAAACATTTATTGCTGAAAGGTTGCTGACAGTACATTCAGACAATAAGTTATTTTACAACCATAGTCCACTTTAAACAAACAAAACCATGATCAAGCCACATAATGGAAGAGTTCAGGAAGTAATCTTGCACCACAAAAGGAACAGAAAAAAAATAAAGAATTTTCTTATGACATAAGAAATGCTAAGACCTCAAGGTTGCAGTTAAATGATTGTCATGTGAAATTCTGTAAAGCTAATGTAATGAGAAGGCTAAGAAAGCAGGCTTAAAAAATATCTGGGATTGGATTTAACAGTATTTGCCCAACTCATGTCTATATAAGATGTTAATTAACAATTGATATGGATGCAAAAGATATACTATTGTGCTATATTACTTTCATCCATTTAAAAAGTGTCTGGGTACTTCAATAGCCAAGCGTTTATTAGGGAAGAGGTTCAGTTCCCGGCCAGCCGGACTTGCATTGTTCTCTTGGATACATCACCATACCCCAACCCCAGACAGTATCTCTGTATTATCTATGATCTAACAACTTCTCTCCAGAGCCTTAAGTCTACCCCACTGATATAAACATCTTTTTAAAAAAAAACAAACAAAAAAAAACAAGCATCTCATAAAATATATTTAAAACTGTAGCTCACACCAAATAGAAGAGACTGATAAATAAAAATATCCAAATCCAACAACTTGCCAAAAGTTGAATCTGGAAAAATAAAGTTTGGAATTACTAGCATTTACAAAATTAAATACTACAAATGTCTTTGGAGCTTAAAGAAATAAATTTACAAATGCCTACCAGAAATTCTTGGTTGGGTGGAGGCCACCCGGCTATTACTCCACATTTACACCCATGATAGCCAAGACAGATTATGAGATTCTCCCTTTACCAAAGTTATTTAGGTGTGTACACCTCTCATTCTCATAAAATAGAGACATCCTTGTAGTGTAAGGAAGTTAGTTGCTCATATATGACATATAACATCAAACAGTCACTGTTGCATAGTGTGTGTTAAACCACTCGTACCTGCACAAGAGCAAAGCAGACCAAAGAGTGTGACTAGAATTCTGTTGCAGAGTCTATTTAACTTTTGGTCCTGGAGTATTTTAAGGCGCACGCAGAGGAAAGTCTTGTAGCCAAAGTCAAAACCTGAGGATGTGTTGGTGATCGCAGCATTTTTCTCCACATGCGCCCATTTTATTACATATTGCAGGTCCATGAGCAAAGAGGCCTTCATTCAACTTTGGGTGATTACTGAGGACGTGTTTTCATTTGGTGTGTTTCAGAAGACGAACTGAGGCTCTAGGACAGATTTATTGCCTTTTCATCCCCTCACGGTGAGAAGGTCATGTCACATAATAACCGTAAACACACTAAAAGACTAACAGATGCTTCCACCAAAACAAATTTAACACAAAAAAA